GTTTTTTGAATAAAGATTATATATAAATTGTTTTAAATAATTTCCTTCATTTTTATAAATATATATATTTTTCACAATTCCATACTATTAACCGATTGAATAACACTGAAACATATTCAAATGAAAGTCGTGTTTGAATTTCATACTAGAATTTGAAATTTCAGTTGTTACAGGTTTGTTCAGACTAGTATGCATTTTAGTAATAGACAAATATACAAAGAATAAACTGCTTAATTCTAGATTCGTGTCGTTTGTACATATACCTGATATCTGCCGCTCATTAGTTGACTTCTTGTGGGTGTACATTTGGGCTGAACGTAATAGTTTTCTAGTTTCACACCCTCGCTAGCCAGTCTGTCCAGATTTGGTGTTTTTATGATCGAGTCGTGGTAACCAATGTCGTGGAAGCCGTAATCATCGGCCAGGATGAAGACAATATGTGTAGGCGATGATGAAATATATCTCCATGAAAGAACGATCATAATCATGAAAAATAGTCGGAAACTCATTGCAAACCACTTGCTCTGTCTCCAGCAGTCGCGACGCAAATGGGCGATGTGATAGTTTTACGATGTGCGCATCTTTGTGTGGGTGTCCCGGAAATGACGCTACAGTAAACATGGAAGTTCGGTAGGTGTTTTAAACTGGTAAGTGGTTCCTATTTGTAGTAGAACAGTGGCGGATCTAGGGGGGGTTCTTAGGGACCGGAACCCTCCCCCCATTGAAAAATTTATTCAATTTGTTTTTGTATAATATAAAAAAATCATTAACTTAGTCAGGCGATTTTAGAGTTTGAACCCACCCCCATAAAAAAAAAATCCTGTATCCGCCCCTGTAGAAGGTATGTAGTAGTAAACTAACACAGTAGTAATAGTGAAATTTAGTAATTATTTATTGGTACATGTGGATTCATGATGAGTACACAAATGTACATCATCATGAGTGTATATGCCGGGAATGTGAAGGTCAGTTTATAAAAAAATTAACTAGTGACAATCCTATTTTTAAGATAACTAAAATAGTTAAAGGGCAGTGCATATTGCAGGCACTTGACTGCAATGAAGAGAAACTACACACATGTTACTTTACATGTAAAGATGATATAAAAGCATGCTTTGATATTCAGTATAACATAGATAGCAATATATTGTGCCATCTTCACTCTAGTAGACTGTGGATTTTTTTTAAAGAACGAGAAATGTGTACTTTGTGTAAAAGAAAGCTGTACTGTAGTAGACATTATGGTACAGACATTTTAAGAAGATACAGTATAAAGGTCAAGCAAAACCTTTACAGCAGTTTAGTTGAAAGGAGACAAAATTTGTATGTTATAGTTGTCATGCTAATGTGTATAAATGGTATATTGATGATCTTGCAAGAGGTAAGTCAACAAACTTTTTTCAGAGACTCATAGAACCATATAAAACCACCACCTCTAGTAGTATTGTTTTTTGGTTAAGATATACTGTTATGCGCTACAAAGTAGTTTTGCTGTCGGGGTTATATGAACGTTATGTTATCATAGTCACAAATATGCTGAAGAAGCTTTGTTGACTTGACGATTTTGGAGCCTGCTTACAGAAATCTGTACAGTGGTTGGGTACATCAATACACGCTGCAAATGCTCTTCCAGCTGCTGTAAAGCTAGATGAGTCTGAATATCGTTCCTTCTATAAAGAATCTCAGGACTCATTTGAGGGTTATAGACTGAAAGTAATAAATTGTGTGTCAGATGTAATAGTTTTTTATGCGGCAGTGACCGCACACTTCAATCATACTTTGAAGACGTGCAAACGAGTCTTTGGTCGTGAAGTGACTTCAAACTTGGAGACCGCGAAGAATTAATTCTTGTGATCAACTTGTGGAAACATGTAAGTAATCTCCTGGCTGGTAGTATTGGTTATCTGGATTCTTTTACAGAAGACAAAATTGCATCCATATTACGTGATGCAGGTCCATTTATGTGTGGGTAAACTATGGATGAAATCAAGAACCTGTAGACATGTGTAGACAATGTAGACATCCTGATGACAAGTTTTGCTCTATGTAGTGTTGTCAAAATATTTGTGACAATAAATAATTTTCTTGTCTGCATGGCTACATACGGTGGATTAATGAATAAACTACCAATAGTACATCTACTGAAAGAGATGGTTCATGCCATCATGTTGTTACCAAGAACGCGTGGTTGATGCTCCATATAACACAAAGGTAAGTTGGATGATGTGTTGTTGGAAGATGATATGCCAACCAATTACAATTACAACTTCATTGATGTCATTGGTAATTCTGAATTTGGTGAACAATTTGTGGTAAGAAGCATCATTAAGGCTAGAAAAAACTAGGGCAATTTCCAAATCTGTGGTTTTCGGTCTTTACCCAAACAAGGTTGATATTGAAGATGGAATGCAAGTAAGTAGCATCTACCAATTGTCTCTTCAAAAGTTTATATTAAATTAAAATGAACGTGATGATTATTTGATCAAATTAAAAAGCGAGTATGCCCTTGCGCTTAGTTGACTAGCACACCTTACAAACTTACCAAATGACACTGATGAATGTTTATTCGCACGCAGGGCTGAAGGAGTTGCTCCATAGACTGAAACTTTGCAATTGTATATAGGGTACATTATGAGTTGTTTCTGAAACCAGCATTATACTAAACTCAAAAACTTGGGAAGAATTACAAGATTTGAAAGGTGGTGAATTAAGAACAGATAAAAAATGAGATCATCAAGTCTTGTACAAAATTTGAATATTATCTAAACAGATATGTCCAAGCAAGTGACTCTGTCAAATTTTGGAGTATGTTTGTGCACACAGTTATAATGGTATACATAGAAATTTATCTTAGAAAAAGAAAATTAGAATGTAAGAGTTGGCACTCCATGTTCAAATAACAGTTTACGGAACTTCGAGTTACATATACATTTTTAATCTCGTTGAACGTCCACATTCAGTAACTCGAACTTTAATTTAACTTTAATATATAGAGATTTTTTGGTTTAACGTTGTATGTTTTACGTAACTCGGTTATAATTGTTTATTAAATTTTGAGTTAATAAATATGGAATTTCAACAACTAAATTGTATGCTGTCCGTTTTGTTAACTGTTAATTGAACATCGAGTTACCATTTCGGCGTGGTTTTGCACAAGTGGATGTGGTTTCTAAAATATGGGCGTGGTCATTTTTGTAACTCAATGTTCATAACCCGAACAATTCAGCTTCTGTGCATAATACTTACACGCATCTCGTTGTCAAAATGAAACGTTACCATGGTAATACTCCGTACTGCTGCTTCAACATTTGTTAAATTCAGTGGAAATCAAGGAGTTTATAGGTGTCTGTGTTCGTGAATTCTAATATCGTTCAGATGTACTTTACGGTGATTTTTTGTTCATACGTTTTAACGCTTTCTCATCATTCTAGCAGTACATGTATGGGTCAATCTACTACTACAATACTATATTCATAACATAATTGCTAGCACGAACTATAAAATTCATTAAATTCACGCACGATTCACCTGAAGATGAATCGCAACAATTGTTGGTGTAACTACGAAAAAAAATGAATTCATGGGGAACGCGAAATGACTGTACACGTCATCTAATAACGTGGCATAGTCACGTGGTTTAATCAAAACTCTTGGGGACGCAATAATTTGAGATTCAACTAGTGGGTCACGTGACAGAACTGTAAAGACACCCATGTGAATTTACGTAAAACGGCAAAACTGTCTGAATCAACTGATTACATCCGAAGGCGTTCACATGAAACAAAGGTTGGAAATCCGTTATTTGATATCATTAGCAGGATGTCGTTTTTAGTCAGCGTATTTTTATTGAAAGAATATGACAGGTGAATACAATAAAAGCATGTGTGTAATTCTGGAAATGACAGTATTGATGTCTGTGTGTTTTGTGCACAAGTGCTACGCCACATTATCATACTAACAAAAGGATTCAATATGGCATTTTCACAATATGGAAAATGTATTCGCTCACTAATTGTTGTGCCATTAGTCGAAACCAAAATCGAGGCTACATGTAAATACTTAGTACAATGATACTATGCACCTCTATTACTGGGAACATTCAGATAGTACGCCAGGTGGCCGCACAGAGATACCCGACATGAATAAACGGGATTAGACATTTATTACAGATAATAATAATACAGTAAATGTGCTGGGATTTATTTTTTAATAACACGACTCTCTGATTAAAATTTACTGATTGGTTTATACATATACATTTTTTTCTCTCCATGAAACAAATTCAACTAGGGATGCTATCTCCTAATGCCACCACGTCGACCTCCTTGTGCCCCTTGTTTTATTTGCACGCCACGCAGTTGTTAAGATTGGGACGCAGCAAAATGCGAACGGTCAGTTCATCAGTAATTGAACGTTCTTATAAATTATATTCGTGATTGCACATTTGTTCTTTGTACCCAGAATGACGTCATGCCTGACATTTGTTTGTGCATGATGCACGTAAATCTATGTATTTACTGAACAAATATTGTTTGTACATGTACTACGAACATATAAACGGCCGAATAAATAAATATCTCAGACTCACATATGTTATTGCGCTCGAACTGTGGGTTCTGGTTTTTGTTGAATAAGCCTTGTTCGAAGCGTCTGTCACGTATACTATATGACTTAAATTAGAACGAGCTCGGCAGAAAAGTAATCATTGTGTTAGAGGGCAAATAACCACCCGGTGAACCACGCATTGCATCCACTCTAAACTGTCAATTTGCACGTGAATATATACACTTTGGGAGAAATCTGTTTTAACTACCACTAACTGCTACATTTTTGTTGCTTATATTTTGTATAGACAGTACATTGTCATCATTTGCGTTTCAACTTACCATGGCAATTTGAAATTTCAAATAAAATCAAAGCCATTTATTCAAATCTCTAGAAAAAAGAAAATGTAATAGCCTGAGAGTGGAATTCTATAAGGCTTTTGGCACATGGCCGGGAAGCTAGTTGTAAATTATGCCTTGGATAAGGGGGGGGGGGTCAGAATCCCAAAAGCAAAGTGTTGTAACACTCAAAGAAAAGACCGCGATCTCTCTTATGAATGTGGATACTAAGTTGGCTTCAAAATGCTTGGCTAAACGTCTTGAGCAAGTTTTGCCAGAGTTGATAGGTCCAATGCAGGCAGCATTTGTTAAAGGACGTAATATTAATGATTATGTGAGACTCATAGATGAGATATATCATTTTACAAAAGATAATAATATAGGGTGCATCTTACTGGCGATTGATTGTGATATAGCATTTGATATGGTTGACTGGAGATATCTCTTCAATGTGTTAAAAAAATTTAAATTTGGGGTAGATTTTCAAAAGTGGATATTGTATAGGACTAATCAGGGCTGTGTGATGAATATCAGGTTCAGTACAGGTTACTTTGCAGTACAAAGAAGAGAGCCTCTGTCTCCAATGTTGTTCATTTTGGTATTGGAAACTGTTTTAATT